CTCTGACAAAATACATAACGCAGCAGAACACTTATTTGGTGAGGATAAGGACTCTCTAAACCAATATTTCTGCGGCAGAGTACAGTGGACAAGAATCGTAGAATTCATCTTGCTTGACAGTTGTTAACCGTATATCTGTACTGTCACGTTTCCTCTACGTATACGAGCACTCAAGGCCAGAGTTGGTTTTGCCATTTTTTTAACGTTGTCCTATGCCAGTTGTTCCTTTGAAATGCAGAAAACCATAAACCTCCGCAAACATGTTTAAATACAATTCTTTTAATTTGAGCAACAGGCAGCCTTGCGAAAACAATCTAGTGGTTTAAAAAAATTTTGGATAAAATGAAAGCTGCCGAATGCCATTTTCGGCCTACCAGCAGAAACTTACCACAAGCTAATATTTTGAGCGACCCTCCAACAAGCAGATTATACTTTCAAGTTCAAGGTCGTCACTGCTGGATGAAACAAATAAATTGGCATGTATGGGTATTAGACACCGAGTTTTTTCTAGTATCCAACTGTAATAGAAAGATTATGTGAATCTAACATGTAAACAGCGTTTAAACTAGGACCGTTTTTAACATTTCTCAGGTAGTAACTGGAGGTATAGCTAATCGGAAACGTTTAACGGTTCAGCTTCCACATTTTTACCTATGAAACTCTAAAAAAATCAAGATGGAAGTTGGATCAATCCATGTATTTGGTACCTAACAGGCATTCAAACGAGTACGGGATGAAAGCTGATTCCGAGATCCCAAGCTAGGGCAGCGACTTCAAAGAATAAATGTCGATCGGCAAGGAAGAAGTCTGACATCAAGGTTTATATGCTTGAGGTCGCTTTTTTCCTCCCGCCTATCAGCACAGCATGTCCGGCTCAATCCCTTTGAGTTCGGCATATCCCAAAGGAAATTTATTTGTGCAATTTCGGCTAGGTGGGAATAGTGTGTACTTGGCGCTCTACAATAATCACTTCAACTCACAAGATGAAAAGGAGCAGGCGGGAGACACCAGAGTGGAGGGTCTATCGTATAAAGTACCCGTGGCTGTCCTCTCAGGCGGTATTGGCCTCTGACGAAGTCTGGTTCTGTGTTGACTAAGTCCAGTCGTTTCTGAAAGCTAGTGTGACAGCAGTGGCAGCCGCTTTCGTGGGTTAATGGGCGAGGCTCAAATGTTGTCAAATCGGCTTGACTTACATTACTCGAGGGATGGTGGCCCAGTGTCTCATGCTGCAAGTCAGGGGAGGATGACGCGCTCAAGTGGCGCATGAGTAGCTACGACTATGTGGACGCATGTGTGTCCGAGTCGAAGAAGGACGAGTGACCGCTGCAACAGATGAGTGACCTTGAGACAGTGAGACCTTGGACAATAGCGTCAGATTGGCAATGGTGGCTGCCACAAACATATTTTTGTCGCAATCAAGTAGGATACTCAAAAAAATAGGAAAAGGTGCATTAGATACGCAACGATAACATCGCAAACGTGCAAAAGCACAACTAAATTCGAGTGTTAACAGCATCGAGGACTTCATGCGCATCACTAACTACATTGGTCAGCAATCCTTTTAAGGTCAAGTATACCTCTGTCAAGTTAGTAAGGTATCGACTCTAGCAAAGAGCCGAGGTAACTGTAGATTATTTCGTATAATGATATATGGGCAATAAACGGGTTTCATGAAACAGGTGCAACGGTAATTCAAATGGTAGTAAATTGTTAACATACAATTGTTAACATATATACATAGGCGTCAGGAGAAAATCGATCGGAAAGTAAAAACTTATAATTTATGCACATAGCCATTATGATATGCAATGATGAAGTGATCCATTTTCCTTTTAAAGATGTCCTCAGATATGGAGAGAGCAACATCTATATTCAAAACATTCCACCCTTATCACACCCTTTTGGAGGGAAACTTCCGTACGTCTAGCCTCGTCTCACCGTTACTGCTGCCTTGGCAAAGTCATGGAAACTATCGCGACAAAGGAAGTGGTGCATTACCACAAGGTTAACAACTCACTTTCAAACTTCTAACACGGTTCAGATAAGTAAAATTTCGTGATTTAAATTTACTTTAATCCTTCACCAGTTCGTCATAGGATCTCCAGGATAGGCATGAGTCCATATCATTTTTAATGACGTTCAAAAGACCTCTGATACTGTGTTAATTCAGTCTTTTTTGTCTTTGCCGATTATAAAATTCTGCCTTAATCATGGACTATTGTACATACTCGGTAGAAAATGGGCAAGAGTTCACTTGGTCCAGTGAATAGAAAACTTTCTGGCTGGTCAGCACCAAGTCATTAAAAATGGCCAAGAGGACTCAAATGTTGATGATGTCAAGAGTGGGGTTCCCAGAGTTCCGCACTAGGTCCCATTTCGTCCCCAAAATGTGTGGTTGACTACATTAAATATTTATACTGCGAGCATCTGTATTTGTCGACGATGCAAGAATTTCGAGTTGAATCCATAGCCCTGATGATGAAGGCCAAACGCAAAGCAACCTAAATCAACAGGAGGAGTTGTCGAATCATTTGATTCTGCAGCTGAACATCGTACTTAAACAACGCTTTGCCTAGATAGCATAACCAAATCCGCGGACATAAGAAACTGCTTTCTCCATGGCTTAGCTTTCAGAGTTATTAAGCAACCAGGCCTCTGGTCAATCCCTGCTTAAATCAGCTATCCAGTGGTTGGTGAGTTTTTCGTTGTTGGGCTGTTTTGCGGGTTTGGCAAGCCCGAGAAGGTAGATGAATTTCTTGGAGATTGCGAGAACTACTGGCCGCAGTTTGGCGCGTCGAAGTACCACAAATCGGTCTGATAAGGAAAGGACTGAGGGGAGGCGGCAATCGGTATCTTAAAGGGAAGCGAGACATAGACGACGGAGAGTTAGCTTCTTTCTGTTCATTTTTTCGGTGATGGGACATGAGGGGACAACACCAAATATTTTCCCCGCCATAGCCCTGTGGTATACCTGTACAAGCCCCGTCACGGCCCCGTTATGAGGCGGGGCTGAGAGATGGCGAGGTGGGGTTGGTGCTGGCAGGGTATCAAAGACCGATTGAGGGAAATTAGAACAAATGGGTGCTTTAACTTGGTCAGTAGGTTCCAGTTTTCCGCCTGGAGATCTAAGATCATTGAGCAGATCCCCATGTCTACCTGCTCTCTCTGTGTATCCTTGGAATATTTTTGTGGTGATTCGGCGAATTTCGCAGTACGTTCATTTTGAATTTACTTTGGCGCCTAGTAGCCTCACTCCTACAAATATTCCGTTTATGTTTGCCCTCTGGTAAGTATTCAACAATGCCTGTTAGTGTGTAGAGCTCCCAAAGACAATTTTTAAAGGAGACCTGATGTCCAGAACTCATCCACCCCAAACGGTGGGTGTTTGCCCTTTTTCGGAGAAGACGGTGAAGGTCAACAATTCTACTCAGAAACGAACTGAGCGTCCTTCAACTGTCATATATTTTATCAGTTAATTCGGTTTTCTATGTTACCTCGGAAACTCTCCATATGTCGGCACTCTACTTTCCAAATGTTTCTTTTTTTCGCGCCTGTCAGGCAGATTTAGTTTAGAAAACATTAAGTACTGGCGCCCGTGGTCTAATAAGGATTATCAACCGCTGAAAGGAATGCGGGCTAAGGCTGTAGCGGCTAAGCGGTGATGGTGTACGCTCAGTACGCCACAACTTCAGGCGATATACCAAGTTGTAAGAAGCAGGACGCCATTTGGTTAGGACACTTTATTCTGTACAGAATAGCGAAGGGGAAAGTTGGCAACCGGACGAGGATGCGTCCGGCGCCGCGGAGGCGGCGTCCACGAGACCGACGAGCCCTGTGTCGCCGAAGGTCGCCGCTGCAAAAGTGTCGCTGCAGATTGTTTACTCTATAGTTCTGGACTGTTTCCGCCTGTCTTACCAATCAGCGATAGGAGTTGCGTTGACTGACTCCGAGCCCACGGGAGGGTAGTGAAAAGCCTCGTATAGTGCAAGCAGGTAATCGACGAGGTGCGTGGCGCAGACAGTGAATTGCAACGAGACCAATCGAAGCCGGGCAGACGTGCGTGCCATAGCAGGCTATCGCTAGAACGTAGGTGCAGGCGCTAGCGAGAGGCGCGACGTACCCATTGCGGTTTTCCACTACTGGGCTACGAAGATGGTCAAAATCTTGGTCATCTGCCTTACAAAACCTGACTTAATTTGTTTCCTCTCTGTTACTGGCACTTTCGCAGCGACCTCATTAAAACCTACTAGATTGTCAGAGGCCGTGAGTGTGCCGTTGGGTTTATTGAATACTGAGAATTGGCTGAGACGGACCATCTGCGTGGTCTTCCCTCTAAACTGCACAGGAAGCTGTCCCACATGGGCGCCCAATGGGTATCCCTCTGGCAGAGGGTCGTCAGGGCATAGAACGAAATCCCCAGTGCGACTGTCCTTTCAGAAACTGTTGAAGCATTTAAATGTAAACTGGATATTTTCTTGCTGAGAAACTACCGTACATATCAATAGCTAATGTGATTCCCAGGCAGCATGTTTAAAGAAAAAGCTGCGCTGTAAGACCTTTGAAGCATCTGGAAAAGCATTCATTGACAGAAGTGTCAAATGATGTTGAATGGCAGTGTATGGGGAGAGGCACGATGCGTGGTTCTGTTGTGAGTGCGTACGCTCCCAAAAACAAGAGCAAACCAATCATTGGAGATCACGTGCGTTTGCTTCTCTCTACAGCGCTGTCATCTCAATCAGGCGCCTTCCCATTGGCTTCTCCCCCTCTTCCCGAAGGTCACTGGCTGAATGCCGGCGAACCACAATAGCGTGTTATAAATATGCGTCACATTTAGCTAGGCATGACTTGCGGTGTTTCCCTAATACACTTTCCGTGGCCAGCCGTGTGTTGTTTGTCTGCTGTTTTAGTAATGGGGACCAGGATCTAGTGCGTATACGCTCCACGGGATTTCGCGTACCAGGCGGGTCATAACAAATTGGCGACGCAGTTTTTCAACTACAATGGCTTATGAGTACGCAGACTTGAAGCAGATGTTGCAGCAGCAGCTGTTGCTAATAGAGGCACTCACCGTTAAGCTGTCCGACTCGTCCATGGGTCAATCAAGCACGGCAGGTGGTTCGCAATCTGTTGATCACATTTCCGGCAGCACCACTGAATTCTTGTATGACCCACAGGCCCATATCACCTTTGATTCCGGGTACAAACGATACGAGGACTTGTCCTCTGTCGATCTGGCTGCCCAGGACGATGCATGGAAGGTTCGACTTCTACTTCGCAAACTGGGTCCGGCAGAACACGAGCGTTATGCAAACTTCATCCTCCCCAAGAATCCCCGAGAAGTCACTTTCAAGGACACGGTTAAGACGTTGTCGCAGATTTTTGGTGAGCAATCATCTCTCTTCAACACTCGATTTCAGTGCTTGCAACTGTGCAAACGATATTCCGATGATTTCATCACGTATGGGGACATTGTTAATCGTGAGTGTGGGCGTTTCCAACTCGGTTCTCTCACTGAAGACCAGTTTAAATGCCTTATATTTATCTGCGGCCTCCAGTCCCCCAAGGATGCTGATATCCGGACACGTCTCCTTTCCAAAGTGCAGCAGAACAACTCTACCACATTCCAAGAGCTGGCAGCAGAGTGCCAAACACTGATCAACCTCAAGCACGACTCTGCAATGATTCAGAACCCTGCCTCATCTTTCTCAGTCCATACGGTCACATCGACCAAATCGCATCCTGTTACACGGCCCAAGCAAGTGTCCAAGTCGGGATCTCCGCCGTCTCCTTGTCGGCACTGCGGCGCGTGGCATTTCCACCGGGATTGCACTTTCCGTCAGCATCACTGTAAAAGCTGTAATCAGGTGGGACACCGTGATGGGTTCTGAAAATCGAAACCAACCTCTGGAAGCAAGCAAACCCCCGCCACTACTAACTCCAGGCACCGTTTTCGGCCAAAACGCAAGCCCAAACCCCAGTCCGTTGGTAATTCTCTCAGTCTCTTGGCCGCTTTCGAACTCAATGCGTCTGGCCGTAGAAAGTTTGTTGACGTTTTGCTCAATGGCCACGCAGTTCGAATACAGTTGGGCACTGCCTTAGATATCACCATCACCTCTGAGAGACTCTGGCAGGCCCTTGACAGCCCCTCGATGCAGCAGACTTCCCAGTCCACCATAAGCGCGTGTGGTCGTCTCGTACCGCTAATTGGGCAACTGCAATGCGGTGTGTCGTTCCGCGGTACCAGCATCACTGTGATCTAAACCTACTTGGTCTCGACTGGATTGAACAACTTGGGTTGGCCGATATGCCGCTCCGCGTTGTTTGCAGTCAGGTGCAGATTCACGCTGTGCTTGCTGACCAAGCCAAGGACAATCTCCAACGGTTTGCTCCAGTGTTCCAAGACGGCCTGGGTCGTTGCACATGCACTCAAGCCGTGCTACATCTGTCTCCTGGAAGTCAACCAGTCTTCCGTCCAAAGCGACCAGTCCCATATGCAGCCCTACCACTTGTCGAGGCTGAATTGAAGCGTCTATAGGAACTGGGAGTTTTAGTTCCTGTATCCTACTCCGCCTGGGCCGCCCCAATCGCTGTGGTTAAGAAGCCCAATGGCTCGGTCCGCATTTATGCTGACTTCTCCACCGGTCTCAATGCCGCACTGACGCCGAACTGCTATCCACTGCCGGTTCCGGCTGGTCTTTTGACCCTGCTAAATGGTGGCGCTTGTTTTGCCAAGTTTGATCTCGCTGATGCGTACCTGCAGATCGAGGTCGCCCTAGAGTCGCGCGAACTGTTGACCATCAATACCCACCTCGGTCTGTTCCAATACACCAGGCTGCCCTTTGATGTCAAGACCGCCCCGGCCTTATTCCAACAAACGAGGAACGAAATGCTCTCCGGCATTCCTGGCACAGCTGGATACCTGGACGACATGATCATCGTGGGTCGCTCCCCTGCCGAGCTGCAAGACCGCGTGTGCGCAGTACTCGAACGCGTGCAGGAATATGGCTTCCGCCTATGGGCTGACAAGTGACAATTCTTCCTCGACTCCATCAAGTACCTTGGATTCGTTTTTGACGTCACTGGTCGCCATCCAGATCCTGAAAAACATTCGGGCCATCCAACGGATGCCTGCACCCAAGAATGTGTCGCAACTTCGTTTGTTTCTTGGCCTGATCAGCTACTATAGCGCCTTCCTATCATCGCTTCATGACGTACGGGCCCCGCTTAATCGCCTGTTACAAAGGGCTGCTCCCTGGTGCTGGTCCCCCGACTGTGAAAAGGCCTTCGCCCAGCTAAAGTCGATGTTGAGTTCAGACCTGCTGCTCACGTACTACGACCCGACGCTGTCAATCGTTGTTGTTGCAGATGCTTCCAACCACGGAGTTGGTGCCGTCATCTCACATACTTGTAGTGACATTTAAGTCTGTTTTGTTTTACTCAGTTACAATACGCTTTGACACAATTTTGAATAAGACAAAGAACACGCACGTGCACTTTTACCTGCCGACGACTTTGTTCTTATTTACTAGTTTGTAACTGGTGGGATACTGCTATTTTCGTTTCCTGGATAGCCTACTCGCTGTGCCCAACTGGTGGGTTTGTCTCTTACACTGGCGACCCTGTATCGTTCATAGCTCCTTCTGTTTAATCTCTGTGCATAACTATTTCCATTCGGATTAATCCTCCTTCTAATTTTTATCGATCAGATTATTCATCTAGCCCTTATTTGCTATCCACACTGTCTCACCCTTTCATCCAATACGAGCGCTACCCTTCAGTCTCACCGTCACCGCGCCAGTCCTCTACCCCATTTATCTGACCTCTGACCGACCCCGGCTAATTATGTCCAGCGATTCTAGCAGCCAGCCGATAGCCGGCATTCACACTTTTGACCTGCCATCCGTGTGGCTCGGTGACATCGCGTTATGGCTGCGCACTGTAGAGTCATGATTCGCCCTCCGTCAGATCACACGAGAGGATACGAAATTTCACTATGTTGTGGCAGCACTCCCAATGGACATCGCCACCGACCTCCGCGACATTATAGATTGCCCGCCCACAGAAACCCCTTATACTGCCCTAAAGGAGGCTCTCATTTCCCGCATTTCCCTCTCAACGCAAAAACGTCTCCAACGCTTAATTTCTGAGGAAGACCTCGGTGACAGGAAGCCTACGCAGCTTCGTAGGCGTTTGGAGCAGTTGGCAGACGGACAAAAGCTGGATGCCACCATGTTCAAGCAACGTTTCTTCCAAAGGTTGCCTCCTTCTGTGCAAGCCATCCTTGCGCCTAACATTTCTTCTTCGACTGTTCAGATGCTCGCAGAGACTGCTGACCGAATACTCCAGTACTACCAGCCTCCTGCTATGGTTAACGTCGCTAGTCGAAGCACAACTGCCCCCACAATCGAGGATGTCGTCAAACGCCTGGATGCCCTCACTCTCGAAGTTTCCCAGCTCCGGGCCACTCGTGTCTATAACCCTCGTAGTCCTACAATTTCTCGCCGCCCGAGATCTCCCACTCCAAACAAACCAACAGTTGATGGTTTCTGTTGGTATCATCACAATTATGGTTCTAACGCCCATCGCTGCCACTCTCCGTGCAGATATAAAAGACCCGAGTCGGAAAACTCCCCTGCCGACCAGTAAGGGCGACGAACGTGATCGGCACATCCTCTCCCAGTCGCTTACTCCACATCTATGACAGGACTTCCTGTCGTTATTTTCTCGTGGATACTGGTGCGGAGATCAGTCTAATCCCACCCACCTTGAATGACCGTAAGTCACCAAATTCTTCATTTTTCCTCCAAGCAGCTAACAATACTTCTATTAAAACTTTTGGTCAACGATCCCTAACACTAGATTTGGGTCTAAGACTTTCATTTCGTTGGCTATTTACTATCGCTGATGTCCACACTGCCATTCTCGGCGCCGATTTTATATCCTTTTTCGGTCTCCTCGTTGACATTAAGTCCCATAAATTATTTGATCCTAAGACTTCTTTGCGTTGTAATTGTTCCACTCGTACACTTTAATCACCTAATCCACGCATTTCAACAATCCCTTCGTATACTCCCTATCATCGTTTACTTTCGGAATTTCCATCTATCACACGACCTTCACAATTTAACCAACCTATCAAGCATTCTGTTTTACATTATATTTCAACTACTGGACCACCCGTGTTTAGCCGTCCCCGTCGTTTAGCCGCCGATAAGTTAGCCATAGCCAAGGCTGAATTCGGCCACATGATGGAGCTAGGCATAGTTAGGCCTTCCACTAGTCCACGGACTGCACCTCTACATATGGTGTGCAAAAAGTCTCTCGTTGACTGGCGCCCATGCGGGGATTACCGACGGTTAAACACCTCCACTGTGCCTGACAGGTATCCACTTCCCCATCTCCACGACTTTTCATCTAGCCTAGCTGGAGCAACAATATTTTCTAACATTGACTTAGTCAAAGCTTTCCATCAGATACCCGTTGCTCCAGAAGACGTTCCCAAAACGGTGATTACAACACCGTTCGGTATGTTCGAGTTTGTCAGGATGCCTTTTGGGCTACGCAACTCCGCCCAAACTTTTCAACGTTTCATCAACGAAACCCTCCGCGATCTACCGTTCGTTTTTGTCTACGTCGACGATGTTCTGGTAGCAAGTTCCAGTGAACACGAGCACCTACAACATTTGCGTCTCATTTATGAACGATTGGGCCAATTTGGCGTTTTCATTAATGTTTCTAAATGCGTTTTTGGCGCACAGTCGCTGTTTTTCCTAGGACATCGCGTAGATGTGCTTCTGGTTGTCACCCCATAGATAGATAGATAATTATTATTAAAGACCCGTCGGGGTCCCATCAAAGCAAATTAAAATAAATTTGCATGCGAGTTTTAGACGAGGTAGGCCGAATCTTTACAAAATGCAATTCATACTTTCTGAATTAGAAGTCCATTTGGAAACAAGATGATTGAGGGGTGAAAAAAACTCCTTGGAAAAAGTTAAAAATGATTGGATTAATTTTACAGGAGAAAAAAACCACTCTTTAAAAATAATAACAGAAAAAAGCGAGCAGGACTGGCCTGTAGGTGGCGGTATATAACGGAATGTTTTCGGTCATCGTCAGGGTATCAATAAATGTCCGCCTTGATGGGTACGAATGTGGGTCAGACAGGACTGGCTTGAAAATGGCATTGTATACGGGATTCACAATTGAGATCGTCTGGGCCGGATTGGTACGCCGCGTCAAAGAGGCCAGACGAGAGGAACCGAGATGCGATCGGCCACAGCACGCTTCGAGCTCAGCCGAGCAGTGAGGAAGGGAGGCACGACCGAACTACTAGTAAACAGTGAAGACTGAGGGTTCCGCCGTGAGTGTCGACAGACCGCATGAGGTCGGAATGCGGGAGATGACATCAAAAACCGCGAAAATTTTCGCTATGGGGGGGGAGTGATAGCAGTGGATTTAGAAACCAATTCAAAACAGGGGTTTCTAATGATATAATTAAGAGTTACCACTTAATCTACCACTAAATCCCAGGAGGACCCTTCTCGAAGTCAAGAACCTGAGTGTTCGGGAATGAGACCGTTAACAGTGCCTTTATGCTTTCCGGTGTAAGATGTTTGTGCAATTTCGACTTGAACACCAGTAACTTAGGTGATCATCTAATTTCCGGCGGAAGATTATTCCAAAGGAAGGCATATTTGGAAGCAAAGAAGAGGGAGCGCTTAGATGTAGTACAAAGAGGCGGCGGAATCACCATGCAGGAGTTGCGCGTGGCATAAGACCGATCTCTCTGAGTGAGAGTGTCAATGTGCGGAAGACTGGAGCTAGAGTTGATGCGAAAAAGGAAGCAAAGTTTCAGCTATTCGCGATTTCCCTACTCCCACTTCTTTTCTACAACTGCGCCGTTTTATAGGCCTTGTCAATTTCTATCGACGCTTCATCCCTCATTGTGCTCAATTAATGCTACCACTTACTAACCTTTTACGCGGGAACAACCGTGAGTTTTCTTTTCCTGACACAGCTGTAGAGGCTTTCAATCGTGCGAGGAAGTCTCTTGCAGATACAACTGTCCTTGTTCACCCTATACCTGATGCCCCACTTTCCATTGTGGCCGACGCCTCCAATTTCGCTATAGGTGCTGCCCTTCAGCAACAGACGTCCACTGGCACCCAGCCCTTGGCTTTCTACTCTGCCAAATTGACACCCCCACAAACTCGCTATAGCACTTTTGGTAGAGAAATTCTTGCAATTTATTTAGCCATTAAGCATTTTTGTAATTATATTGAGGGCCGAGATTTTTGTATTTATACTGACCACAAGCCTCTTACTTATGCCCTCTCTACTTCTTCTGACAAGTATTCACCCCGCGAGGCCCGCCATCTCGATTTTATTTCTCAGTATACCACCGACATTCGATTTCTTAAAGGCCTTTATAATCAAGTTGCTGACTGTCTTTCTCGGCCTGGCATTAATGCCATCACCCGCCCTTCCATCGATTTGGAGCGCATGGCAGAACTGCAAAATCAGCCGACTTTCAATGAGAGCTTTCAACACACTAGTCTTCAACTCGAAGCCATTCCTCTTTCCACCACCCCCGGTACAATCTTGTGTGACGTATCGCGCAGTGCCTCCCGACCCGTAGTGCCAAGCGAGATGAGACGAGATGTTTTTGCCGCGTTGCACAATCTAGCTCACCCTGGCATCCGCACTACCCAGCGCCCCGTCAGCGAGCGGTTCGTTTGGCCAAGCATGAACACTGATATACGCCAGTGGACCCGTTCATGTTTGGCCTGTCAGAAGGCCAAAGTCGGACGGCACAACAAAGCCCCCATTGGCACTTTTCTCGCACCCGATGCACGTTTTTCACATGTCCATATCGATCTGGTAAGTCCCTTTCCAACATCTCGTGGTTGCAACTACTTACTTACTGCGATTGACCGATTTACTCGTTGGCCCATTGCAACTCCCATACCTAACATAACTGCAGATTCCGTTGCTCATGCTTCTTCGGAATACTGGATCTCTCATTATGGCGTCCCCTCAACCATTACCACCGATCGAGGTCAACAATTCGAGTCTAGACTGTTTAACAGCCTTACCAACCTCTTCGGATGTTCTCGCATACGCACGACAGCATACCACCCCTCATCCAACGGTTTAGTCGAGCGTTTCCACCGGCAACTCAAAGCCTCGCTCCGAGCTCATAACAACCCTTCCCATTGGAGCGAGCATCTGCCTTTGGTCATGCTCGGTATCCGTACCGCACTCAAGCCCGACTTGGAGTGTTCCACTGCCGAACTTGTCTTCGGTACTACCCTACGGATTCCAGGTGATTTTTTCGGGTACTCTCAAAGCTCAGCCGACTTGGATCCCAGCGATTATGTGCAAAGATTGCGCCAAGCCATGACTCATCTTCGAGCCACTCCTCCACGTCCTTCAACAAGTAAGTCGTACGTCGACTCGAACTTACTAACATGTTCTTTTGTATTTGTCCACATAGATAGTGTTCGCCGGCCACTACAACAGCCCTTTGACGCCCCATTTCGAGTACTATCGCGCAAGGACAAGCACTTTACAATTGACCGTGGAGGCCGCACCGACGTGGTTTCAATCGATTGCTTGAAGGCGGCTTATACCGAGCCTCTTCCAACTTGTCCAACTCTTCCAACCTCCACTTGGCACATTGCCACTTTCTATTTCCCAGACTCCATTTACGCCCAATAACCCTGCGTCTTCCCTTATCCCACAGACTCCTCCCCTTACGCGCAGTGGTCGTCATGTCCGTTTTCCCGACCGTTACCAGCTTGTACAATATGCATAACACTCCCACATTTTCCTTCTATTAACAATAATTTTTTTGAACTCCGTTCTCCTAGGAGGGGGAGTATTGTAGTGACATTTAAGTCTGTTTTGTTTTAATCAGTTACAATACGCTTTGACACAACTTTGAATAAGACAAAGAACACGCACGTGCACTTTTACCTGCCGACGACTTTGTTCTTATTTACTAGTTTGTAACTGTTGGGATACTGCTATTTTCGTTTCCTGGATAGCCTACTCGCTGTGCCCAACTAGTGGATTTGTCTCTTACATACTTTTCCAGATGGGTCTGAAAAGGCGATCATGCATGCATCTCGCACGCTAACCCCTGAGGAGAAGAACTACGGGCAAATAGAGAAAGAGGCTCTAGCCCTCGTGTTTGTCGTCTAGAAATTCCACAAACTGTTGTACGGTTGCCACTTCACGTTGCTGACGGATCACAAACCCTTGCTGTCAATCTTCGGTTCGAAGAAAGGCACTCCCGTCTACTCAGCCAGCCAACTTCAGGGATGGGCAACCATCCTTCTTGGCTACGATTTCGATATTCGCTATTGTCGCACTACAGACTTTGGTCAGGCTGATGCCCTTTCTCGCCTCTTCAGCAATCAGCAGGAACCGGAGGAAGATACCGTGATTGCCGCTATTTCGATTGAGGACGATTTGCGCCGTCGGCTATCAGACGCCAAACGAGGTATCCCTGTCACTGCCGCGGAAATCTGACACGCTGCTGAACAGGATCCTGTCCTCCGTCAGGCCATCACCTACGTGCAGACCTGCTGGCCAACCACTGCTCTCGCTAGCGATCTTCGCAAGCTTTTCCTCCGCCGAGCATCGCCATCTGTGGTTGACTCCTGCCTCATGTTTGCGGACCGTGTGGTGATCCCATCTTCCCTCTGACCCACTGTACTACGCCAGTTCCATGCGGCTCATCCTAATATCAGCCGAACTAAGTCTATTGCTCGCAGTTTTGCCTACTGGCCGGGTATCGACGGCGACATCGACGACCTGGTTCGACGCTGTTCTCGATGTCAGCAAGCTGCCAAGATGCCGCCTCGTCAACCGCCAGTACCCTGGGAACCACCAGAGAGGCCTTGGGCACGCGTGCACATCGACTTCGTTGACCCACTTAACGGAGTCTCCTACCTAATCTTGGTTGACGCCTACTCGAAATGGCCCGAGATCGCTCCGCTGAATCCAGCAACCGCTTCTGCCACTATCGCCTTCCTACGACGCATCTTTAGCCAGCATGGCCTACCGGATGTCCTGGTTTCAGACAATGGCTGTCAGTTTACTTCGTCGACATTTGAGAATTTCTGCCACCAGCACAACATCCAATATCTTCGCTCTCCGCCCTACCATCCTCAGTCTAACGGTCAGGCGGAGCGTTTTGTCGACACGTTTAAGAGAGCCCTCTTGAAAGCTCGTGAAGAGGGGACCACGGACGAGATAGTCCAGGCGTTCCTGTTTTCCTACAGGACAACACCGAACCCGGCGTCCCCTGGTGGCGTTTCTCCTGACGAAGCGTTGATGGGCCGAAAACTGCGTACAACGTTTCATGCACTCGTTCCTACCGGTGCGCAGCCAGCGCAGACTTCTCCAGTCTCTCGCAGCAAGTTCTCTATCGGGACACCTGTCTTCGCTCGTGATTATCGAGCGTGGTTTCCAGACTGGATTGAAGCAACCGCAGTAGCGCACAGAGGCAGTATGTTGTTTGACGTCGACGTTGGTGATGACATTTGGGTTCGTCATCACAACCAGATCCGACGGCGACATTGTATTAACACAACTAGGCTCGAGTCTGCGCCGTCACCCCCCCTTGACATTCTACTGGATACCTTCGCCATTCCGGCAGATCGGTCGGTCCCTGAGCCCAATGCTACGCCTCCTTCGGATGTACCGCCTTCGGTATCAGTCACTGCCCCCGGGTCTCCAGACAACAAACCACGACTAAGACGCCGGACCAACCGTGTGCGCCGATCAACACTGCCGTTGCAGATCAATCCACGCCAAAAGCGGTACTGACCCACTTGGAGGGGAGATGTTGGGAGTGCGTACACTCCCAAAAACAAGAGCAAACCAATCACTGGATATCACGTGCGTTTGCTCTCTCTCTACAGCGCTGTCATCTCAATCAGGCGCCTTCCCATTGGCTTCTCCTACTCTTCCCGAAGGTCATTGGCCGAATGCCGGCGAACCACAATAGCGTATTATAAATATGCGTCACCTTTAGCTAGGCCTGACTTGCGGTGTTTCCCTAATACACTTTCTGTGGCCAGCCGTGTGTTCTTTGTCTGCTGCCTTGGTATTGGGGACCAGGATCGGGTGCGTATACGCACCACGGGATTTCACGTACCAGGGGGGTCATAACAGGTTCCCTCCACAAACTAAGTGAGGTCTTAACCTTAAGAGCAAAATTAACAACCTTGCAGGAGAAGGGGCTGATTCATTTGCTCCGGCTCTTAAAGTGCCGAATACGTCGAATGGTTACGGTTGGAGAGTAGAGGTGATAATTTTATGAACAGTATTTCTCCGAAGCTGGACATTCGAAAGCTGCTCGGCCATGTTTACGGTAGCCTTTGGGCGAACGCTCATTAGGACTATCAATGATCATCTTGACATCCACAGACATATATCCGCGTACATTCTAAAGAATGAGATAAGGAGCTAATGCATAAGTTGATTTAGGGTCACGCGTGGTAGAATATGCGCGTAGGCAAGATACAGTGCTAATCAATACTCACTACTGGAGAGATCTGCTCGGAAGAAACAGTTATTTCGGGCTTTCGTCATTGTATGATACGGCTTCGCTGTGGACACGTGACAGGTGGCCAGAAGGAAGCACGACCCCGGTTAGGGCATGCATTTTTTTTTTACCTTGGAGGCATCTCTGACGTCACACAGAACGGTTCGCCAATGGCCTGAAGACCCCTATCGCACACAGACCGGTGGCCACAAGCTGCTGCTCGATCATGCGCACCAGAAGGCAGTTAAAACATAGAGTGAGTCAACTTTACTCGATAGAAACCGTGGCCGGCAGTCCTCATTGCCCTGGTCACCTTAATGCTTCAGGGCTTATTTAACTCAAGGGAAATCAGTTCTACCAGGGCATCTCACCTAATTCCGGAAGCGCTGATCTTCAGCCACTCGACTGACTTTCTTCGGTCACAGGTGCGACCACATGTGTGTTACTCGTACGTACAACCCCTCGGGTGAGGCAAGAGAGGCCATTATAAGCATCATCCCTCAGGCAATGCAGCACACATCGGTCGCACATAACAAGAGCTCACCACAAAAACCTGTAGAAGCAGTCGCCACCGATGCCTCCTCGTCCCTCTAAAGCATGACTGGAAGTATTTAACACTAACCCTGTTGTCGCCAGCGGCCACTGCTGCTTGAGACGGTAACACGGATTTCTGAGCACCGCGAATTCCCCCTTCTGTTGACTCCTATCTTATGCTGCAGCTTGGGACTTTGCCTGACGACTTTAATGCTCTGGATGCATAAAGACTGCCCAGAAGCTACGCGATGGTGACCCCGGCGTGGTCGGACGCAACAGTCAGGCCTGACTGAGTCCAAATTGACTCCGACTTGACTTCTCAGTTTCGGTTTATTTAGTAAGGAGATAGACAAAGCTTCTGAAAACCCTATTCACTACATGTCCGCTCGTAAGCAATAACTGTACACAGACAACTAAAATATTCACTATTAAAATAGTACTTGAGTCATATAAGTAGCATTGTCTCAGAGAAATCATTTGAGGGGTTGCGGGTACTTAGTTCAGATAGACTGTCCAGGGAAAACAGGGACACAAATAATCATCCAAACATTTCCTGAAGAGTTGCAGAGACGTCGCCTCCACGACTGTCTGAGGGAGATCGTTCCATTTCTCCCCTATCCTTTGTGCGAAAAATTCAGAACGAAGATTCAGCCTGGACCTTGTTGTCGGCAGCTTCATCGAGGGGCCACGAAGATTGGGTGAAAGGTGCCAATGAAACATGTCCTCAAAACTAAGTCCATGCGCAAGGCCATGTATTATCTTGTAGACGAGGATAAGATCACCTCTTTGCTGCCTGTAACACAGGGGGAATAACTTAAGGAAATTCAGTCCCTCTGTGTAGAATTGGCTTTTTAGACCGTTTACCAGCTTTGTTGCACGCCGTTGTACTCGTTCGAGGCATGCTTAGTCCTTTACTAGCCATGGCCGCCATGCTTGTATGCCATATTCTAAGTGGGGCCGAAGAAAGGTGTCATAAACTCTCCCGGGAAGGTCTTGGTCAAAGGTTACGAACGCCTATTTGACTGCATGGAGCACTCCCATGGCGTTTTTTGCAGCCTTGTGGCACTGCTGTGCTGGTTTCATGTCGCTCTGTTTCCAAACCCCGAGGTCATTCTTCGAAGCTTCTGCGGAGAACCATATATCTTTCAGGTGATATGTCCTCAGGCTCTCATTTGAATGAGAGTTGGTTGGACGCAGATAAAGGATGGCACACTTCTGAACATTGAAATGTATAAGTCATTTCTCTGACCACGCTTGTAGGCGATGTAGATTTTTTTGGAGGGTTCTCTGGTCATTTGGACTCTTAATGCCTTGCCAGAGCCAAACGTCGTCGACAAACATTATTTTGCCGCAGTCGAGTTCTTGAAGGCTGTCATTAACATAAAGGATGAAGAGCAATGGTCCCAGAACTGAGCCTTGAGGCACACCACTGGTTACGTTCACCCATTTTGAAATATCATCTCCGATACAGACACGTTGTGTCCGACCAACCAGAAACGCCCTTATCCAGTTCAGATCTCCCCGGATGCCGATGGCGCTCAATTTGTGAAGAAGGCGTTGGTGCGAACAGTATCGAAAGCTTTGCGGAAATCGATGTGCACGACATCGACCTCAAAACCCTCTCCTAGAGCCCTGGTTCAGATCTCCAAACAAGCTAAGAGATTCGATGAAGGTTCGAACTTTTGACACAGCATTCTATCCAAATTTTGTATGAAAACGACAATGAACCTATTTTAATGGTGCATCCGTCTGCCTCATACATCAGGATGCATTACTTCAGAAACTCTCATCCCTAACATATCAACGTACCAACTCCCCGGCGAACGTTGACGGGATAACGCCAGCATACGCTCCGGTTGGTGCCCCAACTGTACCTCTACAAAGGTCGTAGCGTCAGTTTCGCCCGCGATCCCAGCGACCCTTGTCGTCATCGGCACGCTGTCAAACCCGCATAAGGACCGGATCAGATCGTTAATTTCATCGGTTCCCTAATGATCTACAACTTCACTTCGCTCTGTGTGGCGGGAAGGCGTTACCAACAGCCATCGTTGCTGTCTGGCATCCTCGTTCAAAACCCCACCGCCTCAAGGTCGTTTACCTCTGCAACAAGCGGTTCCAGGCGCGCTAACCTGCAGTCACTCGACCGGCTTCAGCTCGGACAAACGTGTGTCGACATAGTTGTAGCTGTCCATGCGTTCATTGAAGACACCATCCCCCCCCTTCCCTCCCAGCCAATGCAGCACATACCAGTTGAGCAACGCTCGATCTTGCTCAAAAACCTATAACAGCAGCTTCCGTCGCTCCTCCCTCCCAGACATTACTAGCAGCAGTTAATAC